ACAAAATTTTGATAGCTTTCATGGTGTAAGGTTAATTTAATATTTACTAGTATTAGTATCTATTTATTCTTCTTCATCAACCATAGAATCTTCCCCATTATTATATTTGTAGCCATCAAGCTAATAAAATGAGTGAGTATGCATTAAACAATAATAAAATTATTTGCATTGCGACGTCTATTGTATTCTAATAAAGCATTCACCTAAGTAGCGGTTAGGCTATGGAACCAACCTAAAAAAGTGTTTGGTAAAAGGAAACAAGCATCTAGCCACTTACCTATGTGATGCAAATTGTTTTATAATTTTTATAGCATACACATGGTGCTCGCTCGCCACGGCACTTATTTGAGTTGTTGGAGCCTCGCCACAACTCACACCAGCACCTAGGCGAGCACTCACTTATCTTTGATAACACTTGGTTAAATTCAAACCAAGGTCTTTAGGGAGGCTCAAAAAATATTTACTACCATGTTAGCCACTAGATCATCCCCTCAAGTTTGACAAATAACTAGAAATGCCGAAGGTTGATTAAAAAGCAGATCTAAGGTTAAGTAAGGTAAATGCAATGTATTCCATTTTAGTTTATTTTTTAGGTAAAATTTTATCGCCCAATTTGAGCGAGAACATTTTACACCACTCAAAGTGCTTCTTTGACCGCCCATGGCAACCATCATCTCCACCAACACCTGTTGTCCGCTGCCTGCCACCATCGTCTTTCAGCAGTCCCAACGGTCTTCGCCGTAGCCACTCAATAGAATTAACTTTACTTTACAACAACAACAACATCAAGCCTTTATCCCACTACGTGGGGTCGGCTACATGAATCCTTTTTCTCCATTGTGTCCTATTAAAAGTCAAATTCTCGTTTAAATCTAATAAAGAAAGGTCATTCCTAATATTTTCTAACCAGGTCTTTTTAGGTCTACCCCTACCTTTCTTAACACAAGTCAAATCTAATACCTCTACTCTCTTAACTGGGTCGTCGGAAGGCCGCCTTTTTATGTGACCAAACCATCTAAGGCGACTCTCTCTAATCTTATCTTCTACTGGAGCTACTCCAACGTTTTCATGTATATGCTCATTTCGAATTCTATCTCTAAGGGTAAAGCCACTCATCCACCTGAGCATCCTCATCTCTGCCACACTTAACTTAGTATTATGCTTCTCTTTTAATGGCCAACATTCGGCACCATAAAGCATTGCAGGCCTCACTACCATCTTATAGAATTTTCCCTTAAGTTTGAGGGGTACATTTCTATCACATAACAAGCCCGATGCATTCCTCCACTTCAACCATCCAACTTGAATTCTGTTGATAATATCCCCATCTATTTCACCATCACTCTGAACAATAGATCCAAGATATCTAAAACGTGTACTCTTATTAATGACTTGATCGTCCAAAGTCATAATCCCCTCAATAGTTCTATTACTTTAAAATTACACTCCATATATTTCGTTTTAGATGTACTCAAGCGAAAACCTTTAAACTCTAAGGTTGACCTCCATAATTCAAGTGTACCTTCAATTCTCTCTCTAGTCTTATCAATAAGAAGAATATCATCAGCAAAAAGCATACACCAAGGTACATCCTCTTGCAAATGTCTAGTGAGAACATCCATGACTAAAGCAAAAAGATATGGGCTTAAGGCTGATCCTTGATGTAACCCAACCGAAATATGGAAATACTTGGTCAAACCACCTTGTGTTTGAACACAAGTAATAGCTCCTGCATACATATCTTTAATGATTTGAATATAAGCATTATTGACTCCTTTCTTTTCAAGAACTCTCCATAGCACTTCTCTTGGAACTTTATCATATGCTTTTTCTAAATCAATAAATATCATATGTAGATCCTCCTTATTTTCTCTATATTTCTCCATCAAACCTCTTAATAAATGTATGGCTTCCATAGTCGACCTACCCGACATGAATCCAAATTGATTTTGAGAAACATTAGTATCATGCCGCAACCTATGCTCCATAACTCGCTCCCATAGTTTTAAAGTATGACACATTAACTTAATACCTCTATAATTCGCACAATCGGCGTATTAGTAAAACTGAAGTTAGAGAGGCTTTAAAGAAAATGAAGGGTGGAAAAACTGTTGGACCTGATGATATCCCAATAGAGGTGTGGAAATGCTTAGGAGATGAAGGAATTTCATGGCTTACTAAACTTTTTAATACTATTTTGAAGACTAAAAGGATGCCAGATGAGTGGAGAATGAGTGATGATACCAAATTCTTTAAAGCATTTCCACCCTAAGCATTTCCGCACTCCAAGCCACCACTGTTCAACTATAATCATAGGTACAAAATTCCATCTCATTATAATATTTTTTTTAAAAGTAATTAAGAGATTTATCAAATATATTAATAAATGGGGAATCATTAGGAGTCCCAAGAAATTTGCTCTATTCTTGTCCAATTCAAACAATACTACTCAATCATCAATTTAAGCACCAGGCATCTTTCTTGGGTACAAAAATGTACATTTCAAAAGTCATCAATTCAAGCTAATTGTATGTGGAAATGCTCGAGCTATACAAAGTAAACCATTAAAAGACTTTCTTAGTATTAAGAAGAAAATTTTGGCTTGCAACAATACTAAATCATCTAGGGCGAGTTTGTTCCACGAAGTGTTTGGATCTTTTGGATCTTAGTTCTAGAAGTGAGTCACATTGAAGTGTGTTGCATTGATATCAATTAGTTTGCAGTGACTCAATTTATGTGTTTGTTTGAGCTATACATTGAGTTTCACTTTTAATCACCCTCATCTTTTATAAATTTATTATTTATTAATTAAAAGTAGTATTTTAAATCATCATCCATTAATTTAATAATATTTTATGATTACAATAAATTGAAACTCACTTTTTTAAAAATGAGTTTAAAGACTTCCCGACACTTATAAGGGTTATTTGACTGCCATTATCTAGAATTTGCATGTATTTCATTTGCAATGTAAAATAAATACAAGAGATTTGGAATAGTCATGATTGTTTGATTGATTGTAAAATAGATATAAGAAATCATTTTTTGTGTTTGGTTGGAAGTAAAATGAATATAAATTGTGTGTGTGCATATTTATGTATTTATTTATTTATATTTATATTTTAAGGGATTTTTACATACATAACACTTGAAACTATTGTAAATACATATTCAATACTTAAACTTTTGTATTTACTGATATACCACCTAAAACCCCCATTTTCATCTATTCTAACACTCTGTTACTATCCCGTCAAAAATCCCTATCGGCCTGCCGCCTCCTCCCTTGTCGGTCTTCCACCTCCTCCCTTGTCGATCTGTCGCCGCCGTTCTCTGACCAAGTTCTTGAGAACTAGGCATGGAGCTTGTTGAAAAAGGCGGTGGTAAACTATAGCGGTAGGCGGTAGCTTGGTTGGGATGGTGGCTGCAAACGATCCCACAGAGGTGGTGCTCAATTACAATCAAGTTTTCATTCATGATTTTGCTCCTTCTACAATTGCCTTCCTTTTCAAGGGAGATTCTAAGATTGTCTGGAATTTTCTTCTTCACTCGCTGCAGCTTCAGGTGAATTTCCCTTCTACTTTTAGATTTCTTCTTGGTTAAATATGTGATATGTTATAGCCTCTTGAAGTTTGTTGGACCTGAATGCCAGCGAAACACCATGCATTATTTAAACTTCCATATGTTTGAATCTTGTATCTTAAGAAGATTCGCAACGGAGTGGCTGCTCCATATGGCTGTTGATGGCATGGGTGATGATCTTCTAATCTGAAATCTAAAAAAACCAGTCAATTGCTACCTCTTCCATTGGCGGAAAACATAGTAGAGCCACAATACCCAAAAAAACATAGCATAGCAGAGCCATCGCGACCTGGATGGGGTGGTGGTCACGGTGATAAGTGAGACAAAGAGAGCAGAGAGCGTCGTTCATACAGTCAAGGCAATACATGTTGCACTCGTTCTTGTGAGCGTCGACGTGGAGCTTGCAACGAAGAAGCTCGTCGAGAGCGGAGGCTGTAGCCATGGTAGCCATCGGCTATTGTTCTCTCCTCCTACCTGAAGGCGGGTGGAAGGAAGGTGCGAGGTTGATAGGGAATTTCGGGTAGTAACAGAGTGTTAGAATAGATGAAAAGGGGGGTTTTATGTGGTATATCAGTAAATATAAAAGTTTAGGCATGTGATATGTATTTACAATAGTTTCAAATGTTATGTATGTAAAAATCCCATTTTTTAAATGTATTAGAGCACAAGACAGAGGGTGGGGGTATGGCAACACCAATTGATGGCATCGTTGGGGATGGCTATGACGATTTGAGGTAATGAAGGGAATGGGACCGAAGATCAATGATGCCAGAGGGTATGGCGATGATGCGAGGTTGAGTGGGATTGCCATGGGACATCGATGCTAGAACACCCAGGCTGCGAGGTTGTGGGGTTGAGTGGGGTCGAGAACGGGACATTGTTGAGGTCTTAAGATTGAGCGGATTAAGAGGTCGCGAAAATTGGCAAATTCCAAATTCATCAAAAACGATTTGTTTGAGGTATTCAAAACCCCTAAAAGAAATGCTTTGAATTTCTTTTATTCTCAAATCAAACAGTCATCAAATTAAAATAATTGCATTTCAAATGCAATACACTCAAAATACTTGCAACCAAATAACTCCATACCCATTGTGAGACAACTTATCCCCAAAGATTCAGCCCTATCCTTAACCCATTACTAATTCCAACATTCCAAACCGCAAAAAAATTTATCATCTGGCTGAATCTAATCTATCCCAAAAACTCTCAGCAGTGAAAAAAAAAAATCCCAAAACAAAAAACAACTCCGATAACACCAAATAAATAATTACAAGTCATGCTCAATGCCATTGAAATCATGACTCTCGCGACCGCAGACGAACCCGTCAAAGATACATGGAATACTCCAGATAGAGCAAAAAGATCCTTGAAAGAGAAGGAAAATATATGTCTCAGGACAAACAAGTAAGAGATCTGACCTGAAGACCGGCACGGGAGGAGCGGGACACCGGCTTCTTCTTATCCTTGTCCTTGAGGACTGATGATTTGCCCGCCGTGATCAGGCCCTTCGCACCCTTCCCAGACATCTTTACCGCCAACGAACGAGCTGATTTCCAAGTCACAAGCAGAAAAATCCTGCAAATAATGAGGAGAGAGAGACGCGCGACAGTCGAGATGGGATCCGAAACTTCCAGGAACCAAGCAAAGCGCATCGATACGTTATTTTTCTAGACATAAATAAAGTTACTAAGAAGCTTATCAAGTTTGACAAATTTACACAACTCTCCTTGGCCTAGTGGTTGAGAGCTTAGACTTCCAACTAAGAGGTCCAGGGTTCGAGTCTATGTGTATGCGCTGTGTGTGTGAGTTTGCCTTAAATGGACTAAATGTCCCAAAAAAAAAAAGTTTGACAAATTTAGCACCCTTTAAACTGGTAATTACTCTAATGTTTACTTAGGCGTGCTTCTTTGGTTCGCATTATTGGCTTACAATCAAATATATATATATATATATAAATCGGTTCGTTAAATTGGTCCGGTTTAAGTTAATCGATTCAATTTCAGATAACACAATTTGATTTTCTTAGGTTTTGTTTGGAATGATTTTCTTACTGTTTTTTAAAATTATTTTTTATAAAAAAAATTAATTTATACTTAAAATCTGCTTTAAAAAGTAATAAAAAAATCAGCCCAAACTTAGGCTTCGTTTGGTACAGCTTTTTTATTGCTTCTTAAAACAACTTTTTAGTGCAAAAATTAAGAAATATGTACTAAAAAGCTGATTTAAGAAGCAATAAAAAAGTCATCCCAAACGAAACCTTAGTCTCAACTCAAAAGGAATTCATCGTTCTATGAAAGAACTTGCTTTGAGTAGGCAATTATAGCATATAAACTCCCCCCAAATAAGAGAGTACAACATATGCAAAGTGACTCCAACATATCAATTGTTCAGTCATTCATTCATTTTTACAGCCACGCTAGCGTCTTCTTAGCTCGACCAATGACCTTTTTTTTGTATTTATGACTTCTACAAGCTAGATTTTCTAATTAGGCTACATAACCCTTAATTTTTTCTCTCATTTTTGCATATTGATCATGTTGTCATGTCCTAGAATCTAATTTAGAAGCATTATTTTTTTATTTTTTAATAAACAACAATCAGAACTATCTAATTTTATCAATATAAATATCAATTGAAGTAATACTATCGATCAAAACATATATATATATCATGTGTAATACTCGTGAATCATATAATCATATCATATCTACCTAAATTATGAGTACAAAAGAATATCTAAAACAAAAGAAAAGGAACTTTAGAGATCTTAATCAATTTCCCACTCATGCTCCATTGTCTTGATCGGAAATAATTTAAATCACATATAATACGCTAAACAGCCTAGCAGGACACACTAAAATCCTATAACTAAATTCAAAGCACGATAAAGAAATAATATGCTTGTCATCAAACAATTCATAATAGTAAATGTCATATGATCAAGAATCTGTGCTGAAACATTAAAACTCACATGCAATAGTAGTAGAATTTATAAACAATAAAATAGTATGGTACGAAAGTTAATAAAACAGTACAGTGAAGAAATTAGTAAATTGGTACGGATGTCGAATCAACAAAATGTTTATCATATCAGTACTATCAATCGGTAAAGCAATCGTTTAAAATGATAAAACTAAAGCATCGATAAATAATTGTCGAACTCAGATAATATATAAAAAATTTATAATGATATACACATACTATCCAGTTAATCTATCAATATCATATCGATATCTTAACCACATGATTTGTATATCATTTGCTCAGTATGTCACATGCTTTGTATTAATAATCAGTACAATTAATCAATAATATTAACAATAATAGTGAATCGGTAATAGTATCACTAACAGTTCAGCAACAATGTCGATGATAATGTCGGTATCAATAAATCCAATGACAGTAATGGTAAATCAATGTTATAATAGTAATACGTACAGTGATAATAAATCAATACAATATCAATAAAGTTATACAATATTAACAAATCTATAACATACATTTATGTAGTCACACTAAACAAGTTAGAAGTCATAATGTTTTTTAGTAATCGATATCCTGTTATTAAAATTTATTGTCTTAGTATACATAGTCGTCACTCTTTATCCATTGGCATAGTAATAACTCATTATAACTCCTAATCGTTGCTCTAAAGTTATTATATTATTGTATCGTTAAGGATAACACCAAACCACTGTATTTAAAGGAAAGATTGTCGGGTCATCATCTTGTATGGGTCAATCAATCTTCATTCAACGAGTCAACCAGCCATTAGCTGGCTTTTACACATATTACAATAAAAACAAAAACGACAATTAATTATCCAATTACATATTAGTATTCATTCTCAACGCTTGTTAACACTATGCTTAATAAAATACATGCTGAGTAAAAATGCACAGTTTCAAAACATAATCAAATTATCAATCATTGTGTAAAATATCATTTCAAGACTTTAATTGTACTACAACATTATTTTTCAAAGTCCATATTATTTTATATTCAATTAAAATTGTAAAATAAAAAATACTTGATACAAAATTTTCAGAAAATACTTAAAATACTCATAATTTTAATCTCAATAATATATAAAAGGTTATGCGGTGGAAGTTTTACTAGTATAAAGTTATCTACATTTTTCGGTAACAAAAATTAAAATTTAATTAGAGAATGTAGAAATCTTTCAATTTTTTTTTTAACTGCGATAAACATAATTTAACCTACCTCGATCTGGACAATTTCTCCCGTAGGTTGGACGACTAAAAATAACCCGAGGTGGCTCAAAATGGAGTTTCTCTCTAAAAACTTTCCAAAACCTTCTCTCTCTACTTGGTTGTTGCGATCAAACGGAATGAACATAACAATGAATTTTAAAATATATAAAATGAAGATATTAGCCTAACGCTACGACGCTAGTTCATTTTTTTCAAAATACAAAGAATGGAGTGTCGCAATGTCACTATTTGGTCGTCTGGTACTATAGCAATGTTGAGGTGCTCAAATAGTAATATTTTTTAGATTTTGCTAAAATTTATTTCAAACTCTTATGACTCATTTAAGAACATACACAACTATTTTCAAGCATTAAAAGACGTCCAAATACATATGCAAATACGTGTAAAACATAAATTCAAATCATTAGTATTAAAAATTATTTTTTGACCTAAGTAATTTTGAATTTAACAATAATACTTCAAAGATCGTATTTATTGCAAGCCTAGATGGAACATATTAGATTTTAATAATTTGTAATTGAATTAATTCAGAGTCTTAAGAAAATCAATAAAAATATTGACAACTTAACTAGTCAGTATAATAATTTATTATTCTAAGTCAAATAAAAATCATTTAAAATTCGAATTGATAAAGTTTTTATCCCCTTCATGAATATTTTATGTACACTAAAACATAGAATAGGTGGGCCTCATTTGTTTTCATGGCCCAATAAAACAAGTTCAAGATTTTTCAACTAAAGCTACTAGCTCTAGGACACACTAAGTTCAAGTCGCTTAAGGCATTAATGTTATTCACCCAACTTACCCTATGAATTCATCAAAAGCCTCAAAGCTACTCACCATGTCGAAGGAAAATCTTATAGACTTTGGAAATAAATAACCTTAAGTGAAGTCCATGGAAACTACACTTGAACCCATCCTTTTCTTAGAACTCTACATGTATTATGTCTAACAACACAAAGTTATTATTTGAAAAATCTAAAATTTCTTTCTGTATGATGCTTGTACGCAGCGTGTGTATAATGTTTGAGGGGGGGGGGGGGGGTTGAGAGGAGTTAGGAAAGAGGAAATGGGTTTTTGTCTATCAGTTCATTTCGTTAATTCTACGAAATTTCTACAGATCATTGTATGTGACTTCTAACCTACTCCTATTTTTAAAAATTTTGATTTCTACCTTTTGTTTTCTCCCAAATTGATTTTAATCTCACATCTTATAATCTAGTAAGTTGTATATATATATATATATATATATTATGTTCCAATACTGATTATTATAGTCATTTTGACTAGATGGTTTTATTTTTTCTCTAGTTAAATTGAAACTATCATATTTTATATGATTTGCATAGAAAAAATATTTTTTACATTTTGATAAGATTACACTATTAATGCAAGACTTGTGAAAACAAAAGCCTAGCTAATTACTGAATTTAGTTGGAAATTGATTTATACCTGTATATGATGGTAGGCCAACGAACTTTCCTTTAAATACTATGATTTATCATGTTATTCTTTCTTGATTCACGTGATTTACTAATTAAAACTTATAAGTAGTAATTACTAAGTCGACGGACAACAGTGATGACTATGATACTGAAAGCCTATTGTTACTGATTTAGAGTTATTAGAAAAATATTTTCATCTAAGTTAGAATTTCTTATTTAGTATGATTGATTGGACATGCATATCATATATTGATATTTACTGCAATTGATTCATTGTATTGATTCATCATTATTAAGCACATGCTTTAAAATATTGATATAGAATAATTAACTATCATGTGTATACTTCTATATGATTTCTTGATAGTACCGAATTGCCATGGATTTCTGACACTCTTTATAGTAGTTTAGTTTTACTAATTTATATTATTTCTTTACTAATTGGATAACATTGCTCTGTCATTTGGTTTGAGAATGATGGTTTACAGTTTCATTGTTTTAACGTCCGTATTGTACTGTTTTGTAGTTTTTACTGTTACCGTATGTATTTTATTATTCATGCACAAATTCATGATCATATTAAAGAAAGATAAGGATAGAAATAAAAAAAAAATAAAAAAATAAGGATAGAAATATTGTATAATCCTATCTAATTCATAGTTTTGAATTTTTCATATAGTAAGGCAAAATGTATATTTCAATAAAAAAAGGAGTGTCAAAGAAGAGATATTTAGATATGAAAAATTTTCCATTCATCACATTTAAGGTGGACAATCAAGTAGTTGATTTCTAAACAAAATTCCATAGTCCCTATGCAGTAGTGGATGGGGAGTTGTTTATCTCATTTATTCAAAATTCCTATTCTATTAAGTTTAAACATGCAAATAATTAGATAACACATATTTGCAACTCTATATATTAGAGAGCAACCGAGTTTTAAGCATGAGGTAGGAATTGAAGCTCACATTTCTCCCTTTGTGAGCTCTAATTCTCC